CATCAGAGCCAGACGTAAGACCTATTTATTTAAGTTTTAGGCATTTATTTCAATACTTTTTCTACCAATTGTTAATAGATTAAACACTAAAAGAATCTTTCAACAATATTTATATTTAAAACAATTATAATAATCAAAACAATTCAGTAAAAACAAGTACCACTTGTACAAGTAACTTTCAAGCTAGAGTTAAAAAATTTAAAAACTTGCATTAAAGAATATAACTGAGTCAGGGAAAATATAATGAGTCAGGGAAAAGTAAGGGAAAAGACAGGAAATATAATTGTATAAAGTGGCTGGGCCTGTATTTGCTATTATTATATTTTTTGGCTAATAATTTTGGCAAATTATTTTAAAATGAAAGTAAAAACTTTAAAGTAAAATAACTGAGTACATTAAACATAATTACTTTAAGTACAAGAAAGTAATAATGTTTAAGCATGGTTTTTGCATGCGTTAACAAAAGCATGCAAATTTTACCTTAAAATGAATTTATTTGCAATCAGTTTAAAAGAAACCATGCTTAAACTCTATTATTGCTTTCTTCAATAGCATACTTTTTTTTTTTAATTTTTCTTATTTTCCCTAAAGTGAAGTGATTTTTGTTTGCACATCAAGACTGCTCTATTTTAGATGTAATTTCTGATCAAATTGACCATGCCCTCTCTCTTTACCTCTCTGCCAATATTTTTGTTGCTGGAGACTTTAATGCTCATCACACTGAATGACTTGGCTCTAATGCTACTGACTCTGTCAGCACTAAAACGTATAACTTCTGCATTTCTCTATCTCTTACTCAGACAGTTATCTTTGTCACTCATTTTCCTGACATTTCCTAATCATTTACCTTTACTCCTTGATTTATGTTTGGTCTCTGATCCTAGCTTGTGTGCAGTTTCTCCTTTTTCTTTTATAGAAGGTTTTGACCATGCAATGATCTCTTTAAATCTTTTATCTCATACTTCCATTTTTACACCCTATCATCGAAGAAGAAACAGCTGTTTTTTATTGCAAGAAATTGATGTAAAAAGGTCCTTTCTGATGCTAAGCTCCAATATTTTTATTTCACTAAATCTTGTATATTATCTCAGGACTTAAGCTCTTTAAACTTTTGGAAAATCTTTAACAGCGTTGTTAACAAAGGTAGGTCTAACACTCCATTTCTCATTCATGGGACTGATCTATTTGCCAAAATTTTTTTTTCTGATTCGACTCTCAAATCTATGGCCATTGTTTTCCTTTCATTTCAATTTAATAGATTAACCCATTGCTAGACATTCAAATCACTCCAGCTTCCATTGCTTAAGTCATATCTTAATTAAACTCTTATATGGCTTGTGGTCCAGACAACATTCCTGTCATAGTCTTGCAAAATTGTTCACCATAACTCTCTTCAATTCTCTCTAAACTTTTTAATAAGTGCTTGACTGAGTCTTGTTTTTCTGCCTGCTGGAAAATGGCATGTTATTCCAATTTTTAGAAACTCTGGCACCATTCTGACCTCGTAACTTCTGGCACCATTCTGACCTCGTAAGTTATATTCCAATCAGTCTTCTTTCTGTTATTAGCAAGGTCTTTGTGTCATTGATAAAAAAATTTTTTACATACTATCTTGAGTCAAATAACTTACTGTCAAACAATCAATATGGTTTTCGATTCTCTCGCTCTATGGCTGATTTGCTAACTGCTGTGACTGAAAGATTTTATCGCACATTAGATGGAGACGGAGAGGCTAGGACTATTGCTCTTAGCGTATCTTAGGCTTTCGACAAAGTTAGGCATGCTAGTCTTCTCCATAAGCTTGTTTCATATGGTGTATCTGGTAAAGTTTTTGAGATTATAAAATCGCTTCTTTCTAACCGCTTTATTAAAGTCAACCTCATAGGCCAACACTTTTCTAACTTCTAGGGTACCTCTAGCTTCTATCCTTGATCATGTTTAGTTTCTTATCTACATTAACGATCTTTTCGACAACCTCGACAATCTAAAATACCCTTGTTTTGCTGATGCGACAACACCTGTCTTGACAAAAAGTCTTCTTTTTTTGATTGCTTAAAACAGGCAGCCAATCTTGAATCTGATCTCACTTCTGTAACAAACTGGGGCTCACAGTGGCTTGTAAAATTAACCTCCAACAAAACTCAGTTATTTACTTCAAACAACTATTACAGTACTGTCGACATTCCTATTTTAATGAATGGCAACCTTTTCACTGAGTATTCTACTTTGTCTTCTTGGATTATCATTTACTACTGACCTTTCATGGAAACCATATATACAATTGATTGCTAAATTAGCATCTGCTAAGGTTTGCTTCTTTTTATTGTGCTCACCATTTTCTCTCTCCTGATTCCTACCTCTATAAATCTCTTATTCGTCCCTTTATGGAATACTTTTGTCATATTTGGGCTGGTTTTTCTGATGATGCTTTTTCTCTTCTAGATAAGATCTAAAAATGCATTGTAAAGTTGGACCCGCTCTATTTGCTATGCTTGAGCCTCTTTTTCATTGTTATAAAGTTGCATCTTTTTCTCTTTTCTACAAATACTATTATGGTCACTGCTCAAAGAAGCTATCATCTCCAGTTCTATCAACAAAAACTCATTCTCGCTTGACTTGTCATTTAGCAAAGTCTCATTCTTTTACTGTGTATGTCCCTGAATGCTCTAAAAACTCCTATTTGTCTAGTTTTTTTCCCTGCACTTCAACCCTTTGGAACTATCTCCCATCTTCATGTTTTCCTGATTCATACAACCTTCAACTTTCAAGTCTTCTGTCAAAAGTTTCCTTGCTCAATAAATCTATTCTTTTTTTCCAGTTTCCTAACTTAATAGTGGTTTCTTGCAGCCTTGTTAGAAGTGAATCAGAATTAAAAAAAAGCAAAAAAAAAAAAAAAAAACATTAAAAACACTTTTAAAAGTATTTGAAATTAATTTTTAAGTTTTGCTGAAATATATCTAATTTTATAGAATAAAATTATTATTATAAAATTATTATAGAATATAATTATTATGTTTATTTTATTTTTTATTGTGTGTTTAGCAACACCAATTATATAATATTTTTATTAACTTATTATTACATATGATATTAATATTTTTAGATTTAAAAAAATGTCAGAATAACTATGCATCTTTTTGATGCTAAAGAAAGACGGTGGAGGGTATTATTAAATGCAAAGGAGGTAGACTTAGGTTGTGCTATGACTTTAAGAAAATTAGATATACGGCCTAAACATATTGAGTTTATGTTTTAAAACACTGTAAATGGATACCTGCCACGCTATAAAAATCATGGGTATCAACTAAGATGGAAACATAATGCCAAATCAAATGAGTATTTTTTTTTTTAAGTTTGTCAAAAGTATCAAAATCTTAGCAATACAACCAATTCAGTAACAATGAGATATAAATTCTGTAAAAGAACATACTTGTTACACCACAATAAAGATGATGAGCATCTAGCCTGTATTTCTAAAGATTAAGAGAACCATTACAATATAGCTTCATGTCTTAAGAAAACTGTTTTGACATCAATTTAAAAATAATCTTCAAAAAGAATTGAACAGACTTTTTTGGACATCATGATTTGCTGCTAAAGAGGATCTTGTCTTCAGAAAATTTCCTCAACTGTTAGAGCTAAAAAGGCTAAATAGAATTAAGTTGGATAAGAATTACTCAAGTCACAAAGCTTGCAAAAATTTTGTTTTATCAATTTGGTCTGACATAAAATGCAACTTTAGTTTAGACATTAAATTCTCATTTTATCTGAAATATATAGACAAACAATTCCTCCACGATTTTGATCATTAAAGTCAAAAGAGCTATTAAAGTCCTTAACCACAACCTTTGGTTGTAGAAACTTCTGAATTATGTTATTCAATAAGCATCTTTAATATATCTAATAATTCATTTACTAGAATAAAATGTATTTGGAAATAAAACTCCCTTATTTGGCATGTTTTAGATTAGATGTTTGTCAATAAATAAAAGTACGAATGTCTATATTCATAAAATTTAAAGATTTGTTGCACCAATCTGCTGATGCATAAAAACTTAGGACTACACATACATTAAACTGCCTGGAAGAGTATAATTGAAAGAAATACAATCTTCATTCAAACATTATTATTTTTTTGTATGTATTTAGGTGCTCCCAGAAGTCCTTACGGTCTTATCATAGAGCACCGCGGGAGAGCATTTAACAGGAAGTTCACGCCTCCTTCCGTACCAATGTCGCTCGTTAGGCTAGAGCTGGCGTCGAACCTCTGGGTTCTGAGCCAGAACCCCTGCGCCACGGCTGCTCAATTATGACTTGAAATGATTCTCAGTAAATATTTAATTAAAACAAAAGTAGCAAAAGAAAGTTGACAATTAAGAAATGCAAAATAATGTTTTGAAACACTTTGTTAAATCAATCAATAGATGTCACATAAAAAAGTGTTAATATTTATTTAAAGAATAATTTTAAAATAAAAAAACATTAGAAAACATTAAATTTCCTCTAATGAACATGTATTTATCATTTTGACAAATTTTCAGTATATTGAAATTAATTTTTGGCATATTCTGTCCCACTGTGCAATGACAAGCTTTTTTAATTGCTTTTTAAAATTCTACTCAAAATGAATGCAGGAAATATATCTTTTTGTTTATTAATAATAATGCCAAATTTGAAGATGTCAAGTGTTTTTTTTTTCTTCATTCTATATGATTAACAAAAACAAGTTTATTTTACCAGCATAAAAATAGTGATTACTTTCCATGTAATTTTTACACTACAGTTTTCAATTTAATAATATATATGTAGTAGTGGTGTAGTGGAAGAGCATGATCATTAATGGGTGGGGGGGGGGAGTGAGTGATCACTATTGAAGAATACTCAAGTTTTTTAAATTTATTTTTATATGCTGGTAAAATAAACTTGTTTTTGTTAACTATATTTTAAAAAATTTAACAATTTGAAAAATTTTGATTTTTGATTATTGAATTTTTTTTTAGAAAGTAGCCAAAAAAAAGTACTAAATGACTCATTGCAAGAAATTTTAGTTAAGAGAATGTCATCAGACTGGAAAGAGTTTGCTCGCCAGACTGGTTTGCCTGGAGTTAACACTTTTATTATACATACTGATCTTGAATTAAAGAATGACCAGTCTAAAATGGTTGCATTTCTTGATCGATTGTATCAATTCAGCTCGCTCTATTATAAAAATTTGATTGAAAACTCTCTCAAAATGTCTAAGCGCTTTGATGTTGTTTTGGAAATAGAAATGGATGGTAAGATGTTTTTTTTATTAATATTTCATATATATTAATTTTATTCAAGTTTAATAATGTTGTAAACAGCAATGGATTTTAACTTGTTGGGTAAGATTTTTTTTGATGAAAGCATGTTACTAATAAAAAATATGCGAGGTCTTGTCTAACTTGAATGTTATCTTTACAAAAAATTATTACATACAGAAGTTTAATTTTTTTATCTGATTATATCATTTAATATTGATAAAACATTATGTTTAAAAGCTTCAAAAATATTTGTTTTGTAACTAATATATATATATATATATATATATATATATATATATATATATATATATATATATATATATATATATATATATATATATATATATATATATATATATATATATATATATATATATATATATATATATATATATATATATATATATATATATATATATATATATATATATATATATATATATATATATATATATATATATATATATATATATATATATATATATATATTAGGAGTAGTCAATTTGAGGAAATATTCAAATCTAAAATACCATACACTCTAGATTTGGGGCAAATATTAAAAAAACAACTCCCAAAAAATTTGATCTCAACAGGACCACTTTATCCTTACCCCCTAAGCACTTTTTTAGAAAAATTATCAAAAACCTTCAAAAATTGCCGATTTCACAGGTCCGGGGGGGGGGGAAGTTTAATTACAAAAATTTGAAATTTTTTTTTTTTTTGGGTTGCTCATTTTTACCTATATATTTGAGTAAAAATATATGGTATCATAGTATTCTTCAAAAAATATTTTTGTTTTTGTATTTTGAATTGAAAAAATTACAATATTTGATGATAGTTTCATGTTATTGGATTAAATTTCAAGAGCAAATAATTTTAGTTGTGTTCATGTTTATTTTCACCACTTTTCTTCCTTTTATTTAGAGAAGATAAACTTTCAATAAATTTACTTTTAGAAAGTTTGTTTGAACGTCTTCCAGGTGTTCTGAAAGCACACCGAACTTTTTCAACAGTTAGCAATGTATTCTGTTTATCTTCCTCATTGTAGTAACTGTGAATAAATTGCTGCATCATTCCAACAGATCTTTCTGAATGATTATTTACTGCAATTAAAGATTTGGCAAAATTCTGAAAGTTTTTAAAAACAGGTTGGGTAAACCAATACTCAGGGGGAAGCGAAAGCCAACAGAGCAAGGGATGAAGGATTTTCACTAATTTCGTTTCCCATTTTTGTTTTATCTTCTATATCTATTTTTGATTTGTTTTTAGTATTGTACCAAGTTGAAATTGGCATTTTAAAAGTTAGAATTACTTTTGCAAGGTTTGCTTTCTCCTCAAATGACAAATCATCATCCAACAGAGCAAGGGGAATAATTGTTGAATCTATATACCAACTATGTCTGTATAGAGAGTTTAAAACTGCATCGACAGCATCTGGTTTGGCACAAAGTTTTTGGTACTGTTGCATTTGGTGCTTTTATATCTAGAAAAAGAGCTTTAATAGCGTCATTAGCCTGTAAATAAAAGTGGCATAAAAGCAAACTATAAATTCACTTATTAGTCTGATTTCTGTCTTGAGTTTTTTGTTCTGATTTACGAACTCAATTTGGCTGGATAGAAGCTGTAGCTTTAGGTAGTAAAGTGCTTTGGAAAGGAACCTAGCATGATGAACTGCTCCGGGTTTTCTAAGTGTTACTGAAGACTGAGAAAGGTAACTCACAACAAGTTCTGCAAGCTCCTTTCTATCTTCTCTGATAAAATCTTTTTTTTCTTTTCCTTTTGTAATGTATTCTTGACAAAAGTTCAAAGACTCTCATGCAGCTTTCTCAAGAAAGGTTCTCCTTACTGCTTTCCAATCAAACTTTATAAGTTCTGTTTGATTGTAATTAAAATGAGGACATTCAAAAACAGTTTTTTTGTTTTTTAAACATAGGATTATCTGGTCCTGTGGAATGTTCATCTGAAACTGAATTACAAAAATGAACCATTCTTAATTCACATACATGATGTCTGCATGCAATAAGTAAAAGATATTTGCCTATATTGTTGGATATTCTTATTAAAGAACCTTTCTTTAACCCAGTGTTACTTGCAGTAGTATCAAAACATATTCCTCCTATTTTGGATTCAAGGTTGTACTCCTTAAGAATGTCTATTACACCATTGCACTGATCTTCACCAGAGGATGACGCTAAAGGTGGTACTCCAAGCAAGTGTCTCACCTTCAATATTAACAAGTACAGCCAGTCTATCGGTTTTAATTGTTTTTCCTTTGTTTAGTTCAACTAATGTTTTGCCATCAAAATGTACTATGCATGGGTATGGAGATTCATTTATTGCTTGTTGAACATCTTCTTTTGATATCATGCATATATTACGATTGGCATATTTCATTTTTTTAGCTGCTGTAGACTGGCTACATTTGAAATCTGTTAGATCAGCTCCTGATTGAGTTAGAATTGCATCTGTAACTTTATGCAAAACATTTGGAGAAATATCACTGATTGTAGCCATAAGGGCTACATTACCAGCAAAAATATCTATGGGAATTTCAGCAGTGACCTTTAGTTGAAAAGGTTTTCTTTCAAACCACTCTCCAGGGATAAAATCAGAATCACGCGAGGAGTCCTCACTAGTATCTGTATCAATCTCAACATTAGTTGTACCCTCTACTTTTTTATATTGTTGTTTCACACGCTGCTTTCTCTTTCTGCTACTCACTGTTGCCTAAAAATGTCAAAAGAATTAATAATTAATAATTTAATTTAAATATATGAGAAATTGAAATTGTGAGTGAACATTGCTATTTAGCTGTTTTTATTTTAAATCTTATTAAGTGACTTACAAATTGTAAGTAAGTTATTTAGAAAGCCTTGAAAACTTTTTTTTTTTTTTTGGTTTCAAAGGCATAAATCTTCTTTCCCCTTCTTGGTCTTCCAGAAACTCCAAATCCTTGTCTGATTCAGATCTTTTTTTATCATTTTTAATTGTATTTCTAAGATCAGGAATGCCAGCCCAAAATACTTTGTTCAGGTAAACTTTAAACTCTTGTTACTTTGCCAAATCAGCAGCGGATCCCCTTTTTTCATGCTTCTTAAGTTGTGAATATACATTGTCCAGATTTGAAAGATTTTTCACTAAACTTTGATCATTTAGTATAGAAAATCCAGCTTTAATCCATGGCTCTTTTACCATGGCCAAAATACATTCACACTTACTTTCTATTGCACATCTTTGAAATTTTTTTTGAAGAGGACAAGCAAGAATAGTGGCTTTTTTTGATGTTCTTGGCAAAAATGATTGTTTGTAAGCTAAGTGCTGCAGTATCTCCATCCCTGTTGGAAGCTGACAGCCTTAATTACAAAAAAGAAGAAATAAAAAGTTTAGCTAAAGTTTTTAGCTTAAGGGATTCATTATAAAACTAAATATTACCTTTTATTGCTGGTTTTGCTTCTTCGATAATGAATAGGTTTTTTTAGACTTTAGTGTTCTTTCACTTTCTGTTTTCTGACCACGCTCTTCTTTTTTATACATATTTAAATTAATTAATTTAATTTTTACTAATCTAAAAAATTAAGTTTAAGACGATTGCTGTAAAACAATTTACTAATGCAACAAATAGAACCGTTGAATTGTTCTTTGAGCTACTATAGCTGGGTCCCGTCAAATTCCCACCTCCTAGAAATTACTAAAGTTTATTGTATATTTACATTATTAATTAAAAAAATTAAAAGTATATATTCTTGACAATTAGTTATAATCTTTTGTTAGTAGCATACATGCGGTTATTATATAATTGTATATTGTAATTTTTTCAATTCAAAATACAAAAATAAAAATATTTTTTGAACAATACTATGATACCATATATTTTTACTCAAATATATAGGTAAAAATGAGCAACCCAAAAAAAAAAATTTCAAATTTTGGTAATTAAACTTTCCCCCTGGACCTGTAAAATCGGAGGTTTTTGAGAATTTTTTTTTTTTAAAAAGTGCTTAGGGGGTAAGAATAAAGTGGTCCTGTTGAGCTCAAATTTTTTGGGTGTTGTTTTTTTAATATTTGCCCCAAATCTAGAGTGTATGGTATTTTAGATTTGAAAATTTCCTCAAATTGACTACCCCTAATATATATATATATATATATATATATATATATTATATATATATATATATATATATATATATATATATATATATATATATATATATATATATATATATATATATATATATATATATATATATATATATATATGTATATATATATATATATATATATATATACATATATATAAATATATATATATATAAATATATATATATATATATATATATGTATATATATATATATATGTATATTTATATATATGTATATATATATGTATATATATGTATATATATATATGTATATATATGTATATATATATATATATATGTATATATATATATATATATATGTATATATATATGTATATATATATATGTATATATATATATATATATATGTATATATATATATATATATATATATATATATATATATATATATATATATATATATATATATATATATATATATATATATATATATATATATATATACAGGCCTTGTTTTAAATAAAAAAGTGCTTAATGCATTAGCTTAACGCAATTTTGACGTCATAAAATTATCTTTATTTTTTTTTTATAGACGTTAAGTGTTTTAACTACCGCAATAAATAATTAACCGCAAACAATTTAACAATAAACTCAAATAACAATAAATGTTTTAAACGTAAATTTATTATGAAAAGTTTGAAATGTTTTCAATTGTTATTTTATTATTAATTTTAGTTCAATATTATTTAGTAAAAAAAAAAGTATATATTTTTTTTTAATTATTTCTGAAATTTGTTTTTGAATAATTATTGTTTATAAATTGTTATTGAATAAAAAATAATAATGATTTATTTTATTTTTAAAAATTTCTGGAATAAACAAAAAATATTA